TACTATTTCTTATTTAAAAAATTCACGATCGCTCACGTAGTAGTGCTTCTTTCTGGGGGTTTCAGCAAATTGGGTAGGTCGTCCTTCCTTCCTTCCTTCCTTCTTAATCGTCTTTTTGGTCGCAGATTTTTGTTGTTTACTTTTAGTTTTTGGTTTGGCCACAGTTTTTTGTTGTTTACTTTTAGATTTTGGTTTGGCCACAGATTTTTGTTGTTTACTTTTAGTTTTTGGTTTGGTACTTTTACACCTTGTTCATTGAATATTCTATATATTAATAATCGATTCTTTAACTTTTGTTAACGTTATGGTTTTTTTGGTAAGCACAATTGTTTTGTTCTTTTATCAAAACTTTTTAATGCACTTTTTGGTTGAGTTCCAGAAACCTTTTGTTTCTGTTGGGTTTAATTTCTTTAACACTTTTTAGTTCACGTTTAAAATTTCGGCGGCGTACGATTACATTAAAAGGTTTTTATATTCTTTCAATGTGTTTTCTTATTTAACGTAGGCCCCACGTTGGGCGCCAATTAACTTCTTGGCTTTGCAAGTTGATAAAAAAATAATTTTATATTTAGTGAACTTAGTGTTCTTTTATTAAACTCCAAAATTGAACTGATTACAAGATATGATCTTATGCTGCAAGTCAGCTAATGTTTATGCTAAAGCTTCCCTCATTAAAGCTCAAAGCTCAAAAGCTCCCAAGATTGGCTTACGTGATTTTATATCGGAATTGTGAAATTAAGATTTGTTTACATCAAAGCTGGGTTGCCGGCTCTATGGGCTCATGGAAACAACGCAGGGAGATCTTATGTTTATATTGAGGCTAAAACTGCTTACTCTGTGGGAATAGTGCAAGAAGCTTTTATGTCTGGGCTGAGTGGCGTGATACTATAGAGGGAATTATGTTATTTGAAAGTTGTTTACATTTGTCATAAGATTTGCCTGAGTTGCGTGGTGATAACTTGCATATCCATGTCATAATCATAATCTGAAAGTTTCATGAAGATCGTACGTCCACAAAAAAGTTATTAAGCAATTAAGTTCTCAGAGTAAGCGCTCACTGCCGCCCATGCGTGTTTATGCTTGTGTGTATATGTATGTAATTGTTTGTGTATGTGTGTGTGTGTGTGTGTGTATGTGTGTATTATGTGTGTGTATGTATGCCTGTGTGTGCGTGCGTGCGTGCGTGTGTGTGTATGTGTGCGTGTTTCTTGTGTAAGCTGAAAGACGCGAAAAATTATTGAAATAGCTATTACTCCAAGGGTTCAGGGGATCTCGTAGTCGAGTAGTCTCGACTAGAGCTTTCTTACTTGTTTTTAGATGGATTTTCGCGGCCCCCTGGGAAATAGCATGAGAAAATGGACATCTCTGTATCATCGTTAATAAAGATTTTTACGCCAATTGTTTCAATACCTTTGGTATTTGGGAGAGGAAGCAATGAGTGGCGAATATTTCCTTTAATGAAGATTGCTACCCTCCCCTTCTGCTAATCGTACGATCGTTCCTGTAACAGCTGCAATTACGAATCTTAAAAGAGGTCTCATTTTTTAGCCACCTTTCAGATACAAGGCAAATGTCGATGTCATAGTCAAGCAGACATTGACAACATTTTTTATACCCTGAACCCATTTTCAATGGGAAATCAGGGTATAATGGTTTTGTTGAAATGTATGTAACAGGCAGAAGGAGGCGTGGCAGACCCCACAAAGTATATATATTCTTGATCAGGGCGACGAGCTGAGTTGATTTGGCCCTGTCCGTCTGTCTGTCCGTCTGTCCGTCTGTCCGTCCGTCCGTCTGTCCGTCTGTCCGTATGTATGAACGCGTCGATTTCAGAAGATATAAGAGCTTCAAATTTTTTTTTAAATGTCCGTAATTACAGCGCGCATATCAAGTTTATCATTAAAAATCGATACCTCATCCCGATCTTTTTTTATCGATAAAAAACCTTATCGAAAACCAGGTTTAAAATTATATCTTCTACACCTTTATTGCTAGAGTCTCAAAATTTTTAATGTATGCTTATATGCAATTTATACAATTTCGGGTTTTGTTAAAATTTACCCCCACCTTTAAATTCACCCCCTCACCCTCACTTTTGTAAAAAGCGTATTTCAAATACTAGAGACTTGTGCTTTAACAATTACATGCATATTTATGTTATAATCATAATCTAAAAGTTTCATGAAGATCGTACGCCCACAAAAAAAGTTATTAAGCAATTAAGTTCTCATAGTAAGCGCTCACTCCCGCCCATGCGTGTTTATGCTTGTGTTTGTATATGTATGTAATTGTTTGTGTATGTGTGTGTCTGTGCGTGCGTGCGTGCGTGTGTGTTTGTGTGTGTGTGTGCGTGTATCTTGTGTAAGCTGAAAGACGCGAAAAATTATTGAAATAGCTATTACTCCAAGGGTTCAGGGGATCTCGTAGTCGAGTAGTCTCGACTAAAGCTTTCTTACTTGTTTCTTTTTTAATTAAGAAAGAAACTTGAACGCAAGTGAGGTAATTACGTCAAACTGATCAGTCTTGGATTTACAGTTTCTGAGATTGCTAATGAGCTCAAAAGTAAGACTTTTTAGCTCATCTAGTGAAAATAGATCAGTACTACTTAAGACTGGTTGGCTGGCCCAGGTTCATGGTTCAGATATCTGCCCATTAAGATTTGGAAAAGATTTAAGGCAATTTATCTGTGGTGCCTGTGATGGCGTTCTGACTACCCGTTCTTTGGTGATGCATTTTCCCTTGCCTTTACATAGTTCATTCTGCCTTGGCACTCCAGTGAATTACCTTTATGAGAGCAGTAACAATTAGCGCACTTAATGGGAGACTTTTCTGGGCACTCTATAGTTTTGTGGTTACCAGCGCAATTCATACAATATGGCTTAACACTACAATACGACGATCCGTGCCCGAACATCTGGCAATTGTAGCATTGAGTGACGGTGTTTGATCTGCGTCTTTGGTAGTCCCATTTGACTCTGATATGGTCAATAACAGAGTAGTTTTGCTTTAGCTTGTTTATGCTTGTTGATTTGTTGACGAAGTAGACTACATACAGTGAAAAATTGCTGTTGTTGGGTCGTGTTCTTCCGGCATCAGCCGGAGTGTCATCGAGGCCCGTAAGTACCGCTTTGTATGGTTTATTATGTTTTTTTGCAAAGGAGAAGAACTCATAAATAGAGCTTTGCATGTGGGCGCAGACATTGGCAAAGTCTGCCTCTTCTTCGCAGTGCAATTTGACTCCGATAGAATAGTCAATGACATTTAGCGATTTGCAAATACCATGCAGTTGTTCAGCGCCAATTTTAATAGGAGGAATGTGGCTTTGTTGACACTTACTTCTTCACAAGTGTCGTCATCAGTTTGGTCATCTAGCGCTTGTAGTGTTGATAGCAGTTGTTGTTGCTCTGCCGTTAACCAGTGTCGATAACCTTTTTATCGAGAATCATCGAAAAATTGATTTTATTTTTTCAGCCTAATTTGAGCACTTTTAAACCTAGAGACTTCAGATTTACTGTATACAGCTGATCGATACAAAGAGTTTGTAATTTAAAGATTTTGGATACCACGCCCCCTTTGCCCCCAATTTGTAAAATACGCATCTAGTACTAGAGACTTGTGCTTTGGATGTAAATACATTTGATCATTATGATTACGTTCTGAAAGTTTCATTAAGATTGTACGTCTTGAAATTAAATTGTTCAACAACTAAATTCTGATAATATTGCCCAAATTACAGCACAGCCCAAGCACTGTCGCTGCTTACTGTGCAGTTAGAAGAAGTGTAGAATGATTCAAATATCAGCTTGGAGGGTTCAGGGTATCTCCTAGTCAGGCAGTCTCGACTGGAGCCTTCTTACTTGTTTAAGCTTATATTAATAGTTTTTTAATTTTTATACTCATTCACGAAAGTGAATTACAAAGTGTACAAAGTCTTTTCTATTAGCTAACCTTAGGGAAATCACTCGCAGTGCCCAGGCATAAGTGATTTCTCAATCCTATCCTATACTCTATTTTGGCTCTTCTTTTATTCTTTTCTTTTATTTCTTATTCTCTGTTCTTTTCACTTTTCTTGCAACAACTTGTTTTCTTTCCTTTTTATACCCTGAACCCATTTTCAATGGGAAATCAGGGTATAATGGTTTTGTTAAAAGTATGTAACAGGCAGAAGGAGGCGTGACAGACCCCACAAAGTATATATATTCTTGATCAGTGCGACGAGCTGAGTCGATTTGGCCCTTTCCGTCTGTCTATCCGTCCGTCCGTCCGTCCGTATGTATGAACGCGTCGATCTCAGAATATATAAGAGCTAGTGACTTGAATTTTTCCTAGGTCCGTGTATATCACGCGCATATCAAGTTTTTCTTTATATATCGATAACTACCCCCGATATTTTATTATCGATTAAAAACCTTTTCGAAAGCTAGTTTTTTAATTATATCTCCAACACCTTTCGAGCTAGAGCTTCCAAATTTTAAATGTAGACTTCTATGTATTTTATATAATTTCGATTTTTGTTGTAATTTACCCCCCACCCTTATATGCACTCCCTCACCCTCACATTTGTAAAAGGCGTATTTCAAATACTAGAGATTTGTGCTTTGGTATGTACATACATTTGAACATTATGATTATGTTCTAAAAGTTTCATTAAGATTGTACATCTATACTGGCAAATAAAATACCTCCGTCGGGTTGGTGATTGTCATTATTGCTGTACTTCAGGCTATTTTAATTTAAGTTGACTCTAGCTTTGTCAATATCTTTTATACAAATAAATAAATAGAAATGTAAAATCTCTAGCTACTACAAAATCTACAATTGTTTATAAACATAGCTAACGTAATGCAGATTTATACATACACTACTAAAACGCTTTACACTACATGTCCGGTCTATGCGTTCTCTGGTTAATGGTTCAGGGTATCTCCTAAAAGAGCAGTCTCGACTAGAGTAATCCTACCTGCTAACTTATTTACATTATTTACATTATTTCTTTATAGAATCTAGCTCTGAAGGAAAGGGTTGTCTTTATGTCAATATCAACCTGTGCGCGATTTTGCAGTTCACTCACAGGTATGAGCAAAAATTTAGCATCATCTAAAAACGGTTCCTCGTCCAAGCTAATAGAAGGAGCTGAAACATGCGTGACACAATGGGCAGCTCTGCAGAACAAAAAAGAAATTCCAACAACAAGCACCTCATCAGATAACACAGAGGCAACATTTACATTTAAATTGGGCCGAACAACCGGCGGTGATTTGAGCAGTAACCTCAGTGTGACCTCTAGTGAATCTTCGGATATTCTAGAATCAGACTATAGTGAGAAAAGTGGAGAACAAAATTCACAAAAATTGCAAAGCCCGTATGTCGGTGTCAGAAGTTCTAGTAACAACAACGTCACAACATTTGTTGATCATAAACTCGTTCATAAAGAAGAAAAGGACGAGAGTCATGATGCAGCTGACATAAAATGTAAGGATTCCGAAAAGAGCGAACTAGATGACGGAAATGACACTGATGAAGACGAAACAGACAATGAATCCGAAGAGAGTAGCAGCAATCACACTGAAAAGAGTGGACGTAAATATAATTTTGATCATTTTCAGATTATTAAAACCGTCGGTGAGTAATTTATATATTGTATGGTCTGTAAAATATTTAAAAACCTTGTACCCATTCACGAAAGTAAAAGGAGAAGGTTGTATTTATACTGTCTGTCAAGCTGTCTGTAAAAAGATCCGTACGCAGAGCTTTTTATACTCATTCACGAAAGTGAAATGGTTCTGTGCAATGTCCATGTTGCTGTCCGTATGAACGTAGTTTATTTCGGCGCTATTGAAGCTAGAGACTTGAAATTTGGAACACATACTCCTGTGTATCTCCGTATGCTTGAACGCGTCGATTTCAGAAGATATAAGAGCTAGAGACTTCAAATATTTTTTTAAATGTCTGTGTATACCACGCGGATATCGAGTTTCGCTTTAAAAGTCGATAACTTGCCCCATTATTTTGTTATCGATTAAAAACATTATCGAAAACCTGTAATAAATTTATATCTGCTACATCTTTAAGGCTAGAGTCGCCAAATTTTTAATCTAGATTTATATGTACTTAATAGAATCTCGGTTTTTGTCAAAATTTACCACCCAACCCCTATATCCACCCCTTCACCCACAGATTTGTAAAAGGCGTATTTCAAATACTAGAGACTTTCGCTTTGGCAAATGCATATCCATGTTATAATCATAATGTGACAGTTTCATGAAGATCGTATGTTCACAAAAAATTATTAAACAATTAAGTTCTCATAGTAAGCGCACACTGCAGCCCATGCGTGTTTAGGCGTGGGTGCTTGTGTGCGTGTGTGTGTGTTTGTATGTGTGTGCGTGTGTCTTGTGTAAGCAGAAATACGTGAAAAATTATTGAAATATCGAAGGGTTCAGGGGATATCGTAGTCGAGCAGTCTCGACTAGAGCTTTCTTATTTGTTATACCCTGAACACATTGAAAATGGGTAATCAGGGTACAATTGTTTTGTTAAAAGTATGTAACAGGCAGAAAGAGGAGTGGCAGACCCCACAAAGTATATATATTCTTGATCAGGGCCACGAGCTGAGTCGATTCGGCCCTGTCCGACAGTCTGTCTGAACGCGTCGATCTCAGAAGATATAAGAGCTAGAGACTTGAAATTTGTTTCCTAGGTCCGTGTATATCACGCGCAAATCGAGTTTTTCTCTATATATCGATAACTACTCCCGATATTTTATTATCGATCAAAAACCTTATCGAAAGCTAGGTATTTAAGTATATCTCCTACACCTTTTGAACTAGATCTTCCAATTTTTAAATGTAAACTTATATGTATTTTATATAATTTCTATTTTTGTTGTAATTTACTCCCACCCCAATATCCAGCCCCTCAACCTCACCTTTGTAAAAAGCGTATTTGAAGTACTAGCGACTTGTGCTTTGGAATGTACAAACATTTGAAATGATTATGTTCTAAAAGTTTCATTAAGATTGTACGTCTAGAATCTAAATTATTCAACAAATAAATTCTTATAATGTTTCCCACACTGCAGCGCAGCCGAAGCGCAGTCGCTGCTTACTACGCAGTTAGCAGAGCGCGGTCTAATACGTGCGTGTGTATGTATGTGTGCCGAAAAGAAGTGCAGAGTGATTAAAATATCAGATTAGAGGGTTCAGGGAATATCCTAGTCGAGCAGTCTCGACTAGAGTCTTCTTCTTATACCCTGAACCCATTGAAAATGGGAAAAAATTTACCCCCACCCCTATATCCACCCCGTCACCTTCACCTTTATAAAAGGCGTATTTCAAATACTAGCTTTTATTTTGGAAAGTGCACGCATTGCATTGTTATAATCATGATCTAAAAGTTTCATGAAGATCGTATGTCCACAAAAAATTATTAAACAATTAAGTTCTCATAGTTAGCGCACACTGCAGCCCATGCGTGTTTAGGCGTGGCTGCTTGTGTGTGTGTATGTGTAAGCGTGTGTGTGTGCGTGTTTCTTGTGTAAGCAGAAAGACGCGAAAAATGATTGAAATAGTTATTGCTCGAAGAGTTCAGGGGATCTCGTAGTCGAGCAATCTCGACCAGAGCTTTCTTACTTGTTTTAGCTTCTTTTACATTTTTTAAATATCATAAAAATGTTTCTTTCCGTATTATGAATATATATTAAGCTTATGTATATGTACAAATACATAAATAGATGGCTGACGCATATAAATGTCGCAATTCGGGCACTGTAAATGCCGATTGCCCCTAGTGGCCGTAGACTCCTCATTATTGGCCAGTTCTTAGAACGAGCAACCGGTAACCGAAATGCAAAATTTGAATTTTTACGCTTAAAAAAATGAGAAAATTACAGGGTATTTTTCGATATGCCACGCCCTTGAAGATGCGTAAAAATGATTTTTTGGGAATCGATAGAAGGGGCTACCAGTAATTCAATTATCCGAAATTAAAGCTTAAATCGGAAAATGCATCTTCCGATATACCACAAATCATGTTAATTAAAGAATGTAGTATGTATGTGTGGTATGTAGGTCCACGTCGACCACCCAAGATCACGAGCTATGGCGGATAAATCGGATGAAACTGTATCTCCTAAAGTTGTAAATCTAGAATATTGCAATTTTGCACATGAGCTGATGTTTCGTATCTACAGTGCTTATCATAATTATAGCCCACCCAGCAACTTAAGCTTTGCGCCAAATTTAACAAAATTTTTAAGGGTTTTCAAAAATAAATTTTACAGCACTTTGTAGACTGGAGCATGTTTAGTAGATTTTATTGAAATTTTAGTTCAATTTATGGAAAACTAAGAAAGAACCGTTAACTTTTGCTCTGTTCTAGCATTTTTGCTTGCATTTTTGTGTATCATAATTATAGCCCACTGTCGCAAATTTGAATTTATTAAGTGCGGAACAGACTTTTAGCTTTACAGACATTGTAATTAAGTAAATTTAGATGGTTTTTAAGAGATGCCGGTTGGAAAACAATTATCTTATTATGAAAAGGGCCGTATTTTCTCTCTTTTTGAGTCAGGAGAGTCTATTTCGAGTATTTTACAAATTTAAAAAAAAAATCAAAGTGTAATTAAAATTTTTTTGGATAACCCCGAAGAATAAGGATCAAGAAGGCGCACTGGGTGAAAACCGTTACTAATTGCGCACGATAAACGCAAAATTATGAAGAAAACCAACAACAGCTCAACCGCTTGTACAGCTTTGGCCTCACATGTGGGCGAATCTATGTCAGCGATGGCTGTTTGGCGAGTACTTAAGAGCTCAGGAATCATAAATAGGTCTAAACTGACCAAAGCATCCATGTTGCTAAGTCGCCACAAGGTTGCTCGACTTGGTTTTGCCGAAGGACATACTGCGACCGATCTGACATACGCGCGTTTGAATCATCGTCTTTTGGCTTACAGTATATTTAAAAATTTTTACCCTAACAGGTCACATTTTCTGATGGGAAGAAGTTTAACCTGGATGGTCCTGATGGGTTTGATACTTATTAGCATGATTGGAGGAAGGATCTATGTTTTTTTCAAGGACAGACTTTGGAGGTGGCTCCGTCATGATTTGGGGTCCATTTTTTTAATTTGGTACCTGGGAATTGAAGTTTGTAATGAACCGAATGAACAGTGAAGAGTATATTCAGGCTCTGGATAGTAGTCTCATTCCATATTCAAGGGAATAAGGTGAGAAACCAATGGTTTTCCAACAGGATAATGCCTGAATCCATGTGAGCAGACGTACAAAAGAGTGTTTGGAGGAATGTCATGTTGATGTCCTTGACTGGCCAGCATGTTTTTCGGATCTCAACCCGATAAAAATGTCTGGGGTAATCTTGCAATACGTGTGTATGCCAAAAATCGCCAGTTGGAAACAGTTGGATATCTTAAAACGCAAATTCTAAATGAATGACAAAGTTTCGAAAAGGACCTTTTATTAAATTTTGTGGTTTCAATGAGGAAGAGAATTTTTAAGTTAACTAAGGCAAATGGAGGCCGGACTAAGTATTAACATTAGTTTTTTCATCAATCCGCAACAAATTCGGATTTTTTTTACAAAAATATGAATATGGGCTATAATTTTGATACAGAAAATGGTGCTGTTTTTCTTTGTTTTTTACTTCTTTTTAAGAAATCATTATTAAATCGTGAATTTTAAGTGAAACAGTTTTTTGCCATTCATAATTGAAATATTGAACTACTCATTTTTGAAGATTTTGAGGAAATATGCCATTTGGGAAAAGTTTTCAGCCGATTCGTTTCAGTGGATTCACTGTATAAAGATGGGTGAAAAAATTATATAATTACGCCCAAATGGGGCGTGGCAACTCGGACCAGAAGATATACTGATTTTTCGAATTCTGCGTTAGTATATATACGCGGGTCGACCACCCAAGTCCAATGAGCTATGGTAGATATATGTTTGTCCATAGGGGGCGTGGCAAACCGCAAAAGTTTATATCTCCTACAGAGTAAGAATTCAAACTTGGCGTTTATGTTACTGTTAGCTCGTTCTAAGAACTGGCCAAAAATGAGGAGTCTACGGCCACTAGGGGCGTGGTAATCGGCATTTATAGTGTCCGAATTGCGACATTTAAATATATATAAATTATATATTCATCAGACATCTATTTATGTATTTGTCCATATATGTAAATATTTAAAAAATCTGAAAAATATAAAAGAAGCTAAAATAACAAAAATTTGCAATTTACAAAAATGCGTTTTCCGCGGGATTTGAACTCGCACCCAAGCCAAATGTGTAGCATGTTTGTCAAAATAGCTAAAAGAAAGATCACTGCCGCTTCTGGCTACAGAAACGACGCGGTGTTTCGATTAACAGTAATTAAAACGAAATCACATTATTGTTATGACGCCATATAACACAGAAAAGCCAGTGTAGCTACTTGAAATTCAAAAACAATGCAAAGATAAATCAATCGCAACTGAGATTCTTAGAATTGTTAGAGTACGCATTTATGTGTACATACATACACATATACAAATTAGCTGCGTGTATAAGGCTGGAATGCTTGATGCTACGCGTGCAGACTTATATATATACATGTTTATGTATTTGAGGGCTATTTAAGAAGAAACAAATTTAAATTTATAAAATTATTCGACTAAGAAAAAGAAAAGTATTAAGTGTCATTCATTCAAGCTCGCACCTTCCCAATAAAATATCTATTTTATAAAAAACGAAATACATATACATGTATGTTGTAACGTTACTTTTCTTAGGCCTGGGTAAGAGATTCAGTCTCACCAGGGCCAGAAATTACAAAAAATTTGTAAGTTTCTACGTGACATTTAGTGTTAGAGAAATGGGTGAGGGGGAAAGGTACCATTTGAGGTTAGGCAGCCACGCGGTGTGAACTCGCCGACCACGCCCACGCATTTGCACGCGGGAGGGCGGGTTTGGTAGTTGTTGACAGTCCCGGAATGGGCTCCCAGATGGTCACTATATACTAGGGCTGACAGCGTTTGGGTTGTGAATGAGTATTCTTTATCTCAAAAAAAATCGATAACTCATCCCGTTATTTTGTTAGCGATGAGAAACTTATCGAAAATCAGTTATAAAATTATATCTCCTACATCTTTAATGCTAGGGTGTCCAAATTTTAAACATATATTTAGATGCATTTTATACAATTTCGGTTTTTGTTAAAATTTACCCCGCACCTTTATATTCACCCCCTTACACACATTTGTAAAAGCCGTATTTCCACGTCTACCACGCGCATATCGAGTTTTGCTTAAAATATCGATAGCTTGTCCCGTTAATTTGTTATCGATCAAAAACATCATCGAAAACCAGTAATAAATTTATATCTCCTACATCTTTAAGGCTAGAGTCACCAAATTTTTAATGTAGATTTATACTTTTTTATTCAATTTCCTATTTCAAATACTAAAGACTTGTGCTTTGGCAAATATATGCATATCTATGTTATATTCATAATCTAAAAGTTTCATGAAGATCGTCCATCGACAACAAAAGTTATTAAGCAATTAAGTTTCCATAGTAAGCCACCACTGCAGCCAATGCGTGTTTAGACGTGCGTGCGTATGCCTGTGTGTATGCATGTAAGCTCATGTGCGAATAATTATTGAAATGTCAGTTGTCAGGGGATCTCGTAATCGGGCAGTCTCGACTGGCGCTGGATAGAGTGGTGGGGGTTAAATTACAAAAAAAATCGAAATTATATGAAATACATATGAGCCTATGCATTTGAAATTTGCAGACTCTAGCTGTAAAGGTGCAAGAGATGTATTTAAATAGCTATATTTCGATAAGGTTTTTAATCGATAACAAAATAGCGGTAGTAGTTATCGTTTTTTGGAGAGAAACTCGATATCCGCGTGATATATACGAACATTTTAAAAAATTTGAAGTCCCTAGCCCTCCTTATATATTCTGAGATCGACGCGTTCATACATACGGACGCACGGACGGACGGACAGACAGACGGACAGGGCTAAACTCAGCTCGTCGCCCTGATCAAGAATATATATACTTTGCGGGGTCTGCCACACCTCCTTCTTCCTGTTACATATATTTCAATAAAACTATTATACCCTGATTTCCCATTTTCAATGGATTCAGGGTATAATTACATTTTCATGAGGATGGACAATTATCATGAAAATTTTAGACCGTGGTTTAGTGGTAAGGGGGTGAATGTAAGGGTGGGCTGAATTATAAAAAAAAAAATCGAAAAGTAAAGTTCATCTATCTTAGGCTGGGAGATCAAAATCCATTAGATATAGATTTTCCAACGTGTGATTTTTTAGCAATCGGTATCGTCCGACTGCCATGTTCTTACTTATTTTAATTTTTAAATATTTAATTTAGTTTTTAAAATTTTGATTGCAGGCACTGGTACATTTGGACGTGTCTGCCTCTGTCGTGATCGTGTTTCGAATAAATATTGTGCCATGAAAATTTTAACAATGGCGGAAGTCATTCGACTAAAACAAATTGAACACGTAATAAATGAACGAAATATATTGCGTGAAATACGTCACCCATTTGTTATATCTTTGTAAGTAATATACATTTTTTTGTGCAAATTTGTATATCATATCTTAACATATTGCTGTATATATTTAGGTTAAATTGCGTAGTATAGTAAGATTAATTACTGCTATATTGTTACTTTAAATTTGAAAGTTTCAATAAAAAGCTTTCGACTACGAGATGCCCTGAACCCTTCGAGCAACTGACATTTCAATAATTATTCAAACATGCACACACACAGGCATACGCACGCACGCATAATAACGCATTGGCTGCAATGGTGGATTACTATGGGAACTTAAAAACTAAATTCAATAACTTTTTTGTGGATGTACTTTTTTCATGAAACATTCAGATTATGATTATAACACGGATATGCATGCATTTGCCAAAGCACAAGTCTCTAGTATTTGAAATACGTACTTTACAAATATGTGGGTGAGGGGGTGAATATAGGGGTGGGGGTAAATTTTAACAAAAATCGAAATTGTATAAAGTGCATATAAGTATACAGACCCTAGCTTTAAGATGTAGGAGATATAATTTTAAAACTGATTTTCGATACGGGTTTTTATAGATAAAAAAAATAACGGGATGAGTCATTGATTTTTGGTGATAAACTCGATATCCGCGCTGTATATACTGACATTTTAAAAAAGTTTGAAGTCTCTAGCTGTGTTCAAACATACGGATAGACAGACGGACCGGGCCAAATCAACTCAGCTCGTCGCTTTGATAAAGAATATATATACCTTGTCGGGTCTGCCACGTCTCCTTCTGCATGTTACATACATTTCAACAAAACCATTATACCCTGATTTCCCATTTTCAATGGGTTCAGGGTATAACAAGTAAGAAAACTAGTCGAGAGTGCTCGACTAGATACTACCCTGAACCCAACTAATAAAAATGCCCATTTACTATGGCTAAAATTTCAATTTCGATGTATTTAAAAATATAAATTTAATTAGAAAACTCATTTTTGAAAATATAAAAATATTTTGAAGCAATTAAAAAAATTACCATCAGTTGCACCGATCGGGTTTTGAACCGCGACTTCTCGATCGACCGTCATGCAGCTAACACACTACGCCACCTCACTTCTAAAAGCTTTGCTGACAAAACCCAAATAGATTCACTGCTGCAGCGCCATCTACCAAAACTAAACCAAACTATCAGCTGATGTGATTCAAAGAATGTTCCAGAAGAAGTTTGAATGTATGTGTGCACACGTATACGATGCTGTTGTAGCTGCTGCACGTGCGTTTGTTAATTGGCCAAATATTTGATGATTTTTAATTAATTTTTGACTGAACGGAATTTAATGAAACTTTCAGCATATGATCTACATATTATATTGAATATTTAAGAAATTTAAAAAAATGAAAAATCATTCACAATTAGCTATAGTGGCATCTGACTTGAACTTGAATGTTTTTACTCGTTAAAAACATAACGGGATGATTTATCGAATTATAAAAGCAAACTCGACGTCCGCGCTGTATATACGGTCATTTAAAAAAAAAATGGAAGTCTCTAGCTCTTATATCTTCGGAAATCGATGCGTTCAAACATACGGACAGACAGACGGACAGGGCCAAATCGACTCAGCTCGTCGCCCTGATCAAGAATATATATACTTTGTGGGGTCTGCCACGCCTCCTTCTCCCTGTTACATACATTTCAACAAAACCATTATACCCTGATTTCCCATTGAAAATTGGTGCAGGGTATAAAAAACAAGTAAGAAAGCTCTAGTCGAGACTGCTCGACTACGAGATCCCCTGAACCCTTGGAGTAATAGCTATTTCAATAATTTTTCGCGTCCTTCAGCTTACACACACACACGCACGCACGCACACACAGGCATACATACATACACACACACACACACACATACACATAAACATTTACACACACATACACAAACACATACACACACAAGCACCCACGCATAAACACGCATGGGCTGCAGTGTTGGCTTACTATGAGAACTTAATTGTTTAATAACTTTTTTTTGTGGACATACGATCGGCATGAAACTTTCAGATTATGATTATAACATGGATATGCATGTATTTGCCAAAGCACAAGTCTCTAGTATTTGAAATACGCATTTTACAAATGTGATGGTGAGGGGGTGAATATAGGGGTGGGGGTAAATTTTAACAAAAACCGAAATTGTATAAATTGCATATAAGCATAAAAATTTGGAGACTAGCAATAAAGGTGTAGAAGATATAATTTTATAGCTGCTTTTCGATAAGGTTTTTTATCGATAAAAAAAAGATTGGTATGAGTTATCGATTTTTAATGAAAAACTCGATATCCGCGCTGTAATTACGAACATTTAAAAAAAAATTTGAAGTCTCTAGCTCTTACATCTTCTGAAATCGACGCGTTCATACATACGGACAGACGGACAGACAGACAGACGGACAGGGCCAAATCAACTCAGCTCGGCGCCCTGATCAAGAATATATATACTTTGTGGGGTCTGCCACGCCTCCTTCTCCCTGTTAGATATATTTCAACAAAACCATTATACCCTGATTTCCCATTGAAAATGGGTTCAGGGTATAATAAACGCATATTCTCTTTATGTAAATACAGTTTTGAGCTGTCATCCTGAGTATATTATATTAGTGCTAAAAATATAGCGGAATTTTTTAAAAACGCTTTATATTCATATCAGATTTACCATGCCCTTTTTGGGCGTATACATGTCATATTTGGTCAATTTCGTATAATTTTAACACTGTTTCTCTTCTGGAAGGCCCTGAGAGCGCCGGCAGTTCAGGAGACCGTGGATTCCTTTGCATATTCGGTACTGGAAGGAATTGGATCCGGTAGGCCTGCTACCTTCTGACAACGGCATCGATAGAGTAGGAAGGTGAATAGCTTGTTCGTAAGAATACGACATGAAAGGTAGCTGAACATCGCAAGGAGCACGGGGGTCTGGTTGGAATGTTGAGCCTGAATGAATCATTCTCACTTTCTAAGTGCGGTTGGGAACTCGGAATGGAAGAATTTCCTCATAAGACATGGTTAAATAAAACTCAGGAGACCGCTTTCAGTGTCGTCTGTGAAAGTAGACCTAGAAGAGATCCGAAAATATTTGGTTAATAGCCTCCCTTAATAATAGCCGGAAGCATATCTGGGTATATAAGGACAACAATTTCCGCTCGGGGTAAATTTGCTGAATTTTCTGAGGTTTATTTAACAGGAGTTTTGGAATCGGAGACGAATGGTGGTTAGCAAGATCTGGGACGATGAGAGTAGAAGTCTTAGTTTTAAGAGAGACAATCTCTAAGGAAAGTGGATTCTGTAAGAATTTCACCTCCATGCCTTTAACTTTCTCTACTACCAGCTCCCTGGCTAAGTGCTTTGGATTGTACTTCATAGTGCGGTTCAAACTTCTCCCACACGACGGGGACCTAAGCCCATCGGCTTAGAGCTGAGCCACCAGAGTGGAGCTCTGAAGAATCAACTTGATGAGCCTATCGTAGGCGAGATAGAGTCAGAAAGCGACGTGCGGGTTGCAATGTACCACTTACGACTGGAGTAAGTTTGCGATTTTCTAGACGGAAGTTAGATGACGGCGATTTCTGATTTGGTTTATAGTTTTAAGCCACTAACCATAGAACACATAGACCGGACAAGTAGTGTAAAGCGTTTTGCACATTTTTTTAGGTTCGGGCTACGAAAATATGGGAACAGAAAATCATTTCTATTCGTTGCATTGGTACGCATTATGAACATGTTTTCGTGTCGCGCATGCACACACACAGTCCCTTGCTACATGTACTATGTAAATTTGTATGCCTGTGTGCGAAGCTCTAGCTGCCTGTAGAGCCCATACATATTTAAGTTAACGACAGACCCTACAAAAGGGCATTATACCGACCCAATTATATCACGGCCCCAGTGCATGCACTTTCGACACGTGCGCTATGTCAGCACAACCAAACCAGCAACGCAACCGCAACCGTGGGAGCCTATCGTCAGCAGTAATATCAATGCACTTAGCCCACGTTTGCATATCCGCCACGCGCGCCGAGTCAGCACCACCGTGAGAGCCATCGTGTCATAAGACACCTATCAGCAGCACCAGCAGTGACCACGGCGGCAGCGACGCCAATACCAGCAGCGGCAGCTTTCATATAAATACTACTTGTATAATTATTCTTAAGTTAGTTCTAATCCAGCTCCGAAGGTAATAAAATGTTTGTTTTCTTTTTTATTAAAAAAAAGCGCTTTCGAATATTTAATTGGCGCCCGAGCAGAGACCCGCGAGCATAACCACGGAAAGTTTACTCGTCGGAAAACATAGTACAAACTATTGTTCGCGAGAGCACCTATAATAGCTGCTTGTGAACGTGACGAAATCGTTAGTGCCTAATCCGCAACTATCGAAAACGTTAGTGCCTAATCCGCAACCAACGTTAGCAACGAATATAAATAGTGCCTAATCCGCAGCTAAAAATAACGTTAGCAACGTCTGAACATTCGAACGAACAGTGATAGTGCCTAATCCGTAGCTACGACGTAATCGTGAAAAAATCTATTCAAAAAATACGTAAACAAGGTGCAATCGTGGTCAAAAAAAAAGCATTCTTGCCACCTATAAGATCTTCAGTAGCAGATAACCACTAATCCTGGAATCTGAGGAACAAGAGCAATCCGCACCATCCTCACGGGTGGCAATAATGTTAAAAATTATATTGTTAGTATTGTTAGTAAGAATTGTTAAAATAAACTAAATGAGAATTAATGAAGTAAAACAAATTAAAAAACCATTTTTTTAATACAATATTAACAAGTAAGACCGTTGCAGTCGGGAGTTACCGACTGCGGAATACTTATTCACATCCCATCAAAAATGTGGCAGCTAAGTTTAGCTCTAATACAGCATAAAATGCAGTTTTCCCGATTTACCACGGCCCTACTGGGCGTAGACACTTAATTTTTGGCCAGTTCTTAGAATCAGCTAACGGTACCCTAACTGCAATATTTGAATGCTTA